GAAAAAGTACAAAAACGAAAAAAATAGGCAAATTAGTTTCCGGAAAAAGATACTTCAAGAAAAAAACTAGCATAAGAAGCATGTAAGGACATTATATAATAATCAAAGGATAACAGAACTAAATAAATTTGAGAACAGAACTATAATTATCATCTCTATACTAATGACAGAGCCGCAAGACAGATGAAGTAAACTTTACCAGTTGGGAAGAGATATATAATCAACACTCCATGCTAGGTGTTTATTGTTATATGCTATCAAGTAGAAATTGACTCAGCTGACCCTTCAGCAGGTCTCAGAGGCTATAAATTGCATGGGAGGAGAGTGCATATCTTTCTCCTTTGTAGCAACTGGTGAGTTTGAACCATCTGCTTTTGAGCTGGCAGTACAACTCCTCCCCCATTAGGCCACAAGAAGAGTTGAATATACTATTTCCTTTCTTTTTCCCCATGGAGGTTTTCTTTTATTATTGTTATGCTTGATTCCTCATTTTCCATTATATCTGAGAAATATTTATTCTTTTTTGTGAGTATTACTCTTTTTGTTTGTTTGGTTTGTTTTTTTTCCTTTTTTATTAATTTTAATAAACATTTACAGAGATTTTGGATTTCCATTCATTCATTGCGGCACTTTTCTCCCTGTCCACCCCTCCCCACCAGTTCGCTCCTCTCTTTGAAAGAATGAACTATTTTCAATGAAGGATAAAACAACTAGAAAGAAACTCAACAAAGATGCTGAAGAACTAAATAATACAAATAACCAATTGGATGGAGTAGACATCTACAATATACATATACTTTCTTCATCAGGGTACATGGAACATTCTTCAGAATAGATCATATGTTAAATCACAAAGGAAGTTCCAACAAATTTAAAAACATCAAAATAATGCAAATCATCTTCTGAGATCACAATGTTATAAAATAAAGAGTAACAGGAAAAAAATCAAGTACATGAAAAACTAAAAACTAGGTAGAACACCCACTGATTAACGGCAGATTTTTTTTCCCAAAGGAGATAGAAACATACCAAAATCCTTAGGACACCGCAAAAGCAGAAATACTCAAAGGTCAATTTATAGCCAAAAACACACACACATAAAAAAAAAATCAACAATAGCTCTAAAAATTAGAAAAAGAACAAGTAAAACCTACAGTCTCCAGGAAAAAACAAATAAAAGTGAGAAAAATAACAGAAGACTAGACATCTAGTCTGGACTAGAAGTTGGATCTTTGAAAAGATTAATAAAATCAACAAGTATTTAGCAAATCTGTCAAAGGAAAAGAATAGTCAGGTGCTAATAACATTAATAAGGAATGAAATGGGTGATGTCACAACACAATCAACTAAAATAAAAAAGGGTAATAACAGAATACGAAGAACTATACTACAACAAATTTGGAGGCCTAGAAAAAAAAGACATATACTTAGAAATGTATGACCTACCCAAACTAATACTAACAGGCAGAAATCTGGCCCAGAATTCACTAGTGAATTCCACCAAACATTCAGAAGAGCTAAAATAAATTCTACTCAAACTGTTTAATAAGAATATAGAAAAAGAGGCAATACTCCTAAACTCATTCTACAAAGTAAGTATAACTCTGATGTCAAAGGCAGACAAAAATACCACTAAAAAATAAAATTATAAACCCCCTCATGAACTCAGATGCAAAATAAAATTATAAACCCCCTCATGAACTCAGATGCAAAATTTTCAACAAAATCCTAGCCAAAAGAACCCAACACCATTTTTAAAAACACCATTTATAATCAAGGGGAATTCATACTAGGTATGCAAGGATGGTTCAACATTAGAAAAACAGTTTAATCCACCACATCAATAAACAAAGGAAAAGAATCCTAGGATCATATCAATTGATGCAGACAAGGCATTTGAAAAAATTCAGTGTTCTCTCCTTGCTCAACAAAACAGGAATACAGGTGAAATTCCGCAGACAAGGCATTTGAAAAAATTCAGTGTTCTCTCCTTGCTCAACAAAACAGGAATACAGGTGAAATTCCGCAACCTAATTAAAAGCACATATACAAATCATGGAGCTCTGGTGGCCTAGTGGCAAGAAGCTGCACTGCAATACCAAAAGCATGTTGTTCGAATCCACCAGATGCTCTGCTGGAGGAGGACTAATCTCCTCCTATACTAGTCAGATCTGATTTGACAGTACAAACACAAAAAAATAATAAAATTTTTAGAAGCACGTATACAAATCAACAGTTAACATTATTCAACAGTTAACATTATTCTCAATGAAGAGAGACTGAAAGCTTTCCCCATGTGAACAGGAATCAGATGAGGCTGCCACTTAATTACCACTACTATTCAGTATAATACAGTAAAGCCTAGCTAGAGTAATAAGAAAAAGAAATAAATGGCATCCAAATTAGCAAAGAGGATGTAAAACTATGTATCTGCACGTCACATGATCCTAAATATAGAAAATCTCAAAGGACTGGCAAGGAAATGACTGGATCTAATTAACTGGTTCACAAAATGGCAGGGAATAAGACCAACATATAAAAATAATTCCGAATCCTCTTAGGCTAGCAAGGAGAACTCTGAAAAGGAATAAGGAAAATGAGAGCCCATTTACCTCCCACAGAACTGTTGGTGAATCTGAACCAGTCATTATTCCAAAAACAACTCCAACAACAGACCACAGCTAAAGAAATCATTGTACATTCACACAATGGCATATTATGCATCACTAGAAAATTAATAAGAACTCATAAACACAACTTAAATGAATCGAGAACAAATGATGCTAATGACATCAGTCAGGAAAAGTCAGTTATGGTATAAGACCACTAATATAAAAGCTAAAGGAAAGTTTAACATTTAGATAGAAGGAATCTTGGAAGGCTAACAGGGATGAGAAGGGGGAGAGAATATAAAGCAAAAATTAATAAATAGGTAAGTTAGGCAAAGGGAAAAGTAATAGAGTTTGATTAGATATCATAATAAATTAATCGATCAATTTTAATGTTATAAAACAAAATATCTATGAATGATTGAATGAAAACCCAGTAATATTTGTAAACTTGCTCTCAAAGAGAAATTAAATTGAAAATTAATATAACCCAAGTTGTAGTCTAAAGGGAGTTGTGTTGCTAACCCAAAAGCAAGGCCTCTCTGGTGGTTTGAATACACTGTTACGACATGATGCACAATAGCTCTGAACCCTGTCCTATCCTAAGCCAGTCTCACTGTCTCCAACACACCTAACCCCATTATCCCAGTTACTGTGTCAATCCATCTCATCTTCCAAGCATGATGTCCTTTTCCAAGTACTGGTTCGTCCTGGCAACATGCCCAAAGAATGTGAGATAGAGATTCAAAATCCTTGCCTCCAAGGAGCAGCTTGGTTACACCCTTCTCAGGACAAATCTATTTGTTCTCTTGGCAGTCCACAAAATGTTCAACACTCTTCTCCAGCACTACAATTCAAAGGTATAGATCCTTCTGCTGTCATCCTTAGTCACTGTCCAGCTCTCTGATGCATAGCAAGTAACTGCAAAAGATCATGGCTTGGATCAGGCACACCTTAGTTTTCTAGACTGACATTGTTGCTCTTTAGCTCTCTGGAGAGATCCCCGACAGAAGATTTTCCCAATGCAATTTGCCTTTTCATTTCCTTACTGCTGGTGCCAACAGTGCTGTTGTGGAACTAAGAAAGCTGAAATTGTTAACAATCTCAATCTCCTTTCCATCTATCATGATGTTAACAATTGGCCTCAGCGATGAGAATCTTTGTTTTCTTGATGTCGACCTTCAATCCATATTGAAGGCTGCAGTCCTTGACTCTTTGCAACCAATGCCTCAAGTTCTCCTGAGTTTTGGCAATTAATTTTTAAAAATGTCTTATTTGGGGGAGATTATGATGGAAAAACTGGTTATCTAGACACAGAAAGTCAGTAAAGGAAAGAAGTCCCAACAAGATAAACTGACACCATTAAGCTTGAGTACGGCAAAGACTGTGAAGATGGCAGAGGTTCAGGCTTCAATCTGTTGTTCATAGGGTCATATCGAGTTAGTTCACACAATGGTTCCTAATAAAAACAATATCTTGCTGATGATATATAAAGCAATTCTTTGAAAAGCCAAATTCTTCATATTCTATGAGTGCATACCTTTCTTGGGATTAATTTTTAATAAATAATACTGTAAAAGCTTAAGTATGCTAAGAAAATACATTAGAATCTAGTAGGGAAAATTTGTAGTATTGAAGACTAACAGAATACTGTATAGCCGTTGAGAAATTTAATCACAAAGTCCATTTAACAAATGAATAAATGTCTGCTCTCATAAATGAACTGTTAGGTGAAAAAAAAACCACTCTGAATGTACCATGTATGAGTTATGGTCCCTACAGAAAAAATTAATATACACAAACATATCCATAAAAATTACAAAGGAATCAGTAACATTAAAACATTAATGATTTCATGTTTGGGATAATAAATGATTTTTATTTGCTTTATTATTAAATTATTTATACAATTAATAGAAACAGGTGAAAAAAATTCTCAGAGGGCCCAAGGTGAATTATAACAAATCATATAGTTAAAGCCTCAAATAATTGCACAATGGACTTTCTACTCATAAAGGGGGAGAAGGACACAGACACCCACATATACTTCTCAGTCCCAAATAAGAACAGCACAAAGCAGCTAAGAGGGAAAAAACCCAACAAACTAAAGAAAAGTTAACTCTGAGATGAATATCTGGAAAGACTCCCTAACAGTAAAAATCATCAGACTGTAACATGGCATCCTAGGCTATGTTCCACTGCAAGGGCATTTAGAAGTAACGCCCTAGACACCATACTGTAGGGATCAGTACTGAGCTGGCACCACAGAGACCTAGAAGTTGTCTTATGAGGTTTTTCCACCACACAATTTGGTTGGCTAATCTATAAATACATGACATTTGCACATAAACACTAAGGTTTTCATAGCAAGCAAAGAACAACAAACCTTACCTGAGAAGAGTCGGAAAGCATCCTGCCCCACTGTCCTTGGGTAGACGACAAAGGCATCAACTGGCTGCATACTGGAACCCACGGGGTGATGCTAGTTTTGTTCCTCTGGAGAAAGGAAAAAAGTTTGTCAGAAATCTATTATCAGACTCCTTATTTAGAAAGTAACTGAAGATATGGCCAGAGAAAACATTTGAGAGGAGAAATTTCAAAAAAAAAACAGGACCAAGTCTCTCCCCAAGCTAATCTCTGCAAGGATAAGGTGTACTCCTAACTATTCTGGGTCCCACACACTTAAAAGAATTCTAGCAAGAACTGACTCCAGCAGAAGGGTCTAGCTCCAGCTAACTCCCTCTGTTGTTGTTGTTGTTAAGTATTGTCAGGTTGGAATTGACCCATAACTGACCCTTCAGTGAGTTTTCAGAGGTAAATCACACAATGGGGAGACTGCCATCCTTCTTCCACACAGCAGCTGGTAGAATATGAACCACCATGCCTCTAGGTCACCAGAGCTCCTTCTAGAGAAACAAAATAACCAGACTGCTGCCATTTTAAAATTAGATTATTATTCAGATTATAGTTTCTAATGCCTTTTCATAAAATACTAACTTATCTGCAGATTTTATAGGACTATAATGAGAAATTAATATTTGGACAACCATAAAATACAATACTGAAGGTCAAAGATCTAGATGAGTTCAGATGCAGCTACTCTAATCTTCAAAAATAACCTAACCCCTATGTTACTAATTCCTCAAGGAGTAATATTAATGTTTATGTTACATGGGGAGCCCTGGTGTCATGGATCATAGGATGTCCTGAGACAAACCCAAATGTGCTATGTCTCCAGCAATTCAAATCCACCAGCAGCTCTATGGAAGAAAGATTAGCAATTTCTTCCCGTATACTATACAGTCTAAAAACTCGCTGAAGGGTCCGCTCCAACTCAATGGTAATGGGAGCGGTATTTTATATATATATATACACACACACACATATATACATATATATATAATTTAGATTTACACACACACACATATATACATATATATATAATTTAGATTGTTAGATTTTTATTTTTTATATAAGAATATATACATATTTTAAATGTCACAATTACCTCCACTGACACAGATTCACTGTTTCTACTACCTTTATGATGAGGGGCTCTGGAGGCCTTGGGGGTAAGGAGTTGCAATGTCAACACAAATATAGGCAGTTTGAACCTATTAGCTGCTCCATTAGAGAAAGATGGACAGTCTCCTCCTACATGATTGACAGTCTCTGAGAACCTGCTGGAGGGTCAGCTATGAACTGATTCTGACACAAAGGCAATGAGAGAGTAGAGAGCTAAAGAGATGAGGAGAGTGAGATAGGGATTAAAGAAGTCTAACTTCTCAGAAGCAAAATGACAAACCACTATCATCGAGTTGATTGTGACTCATGGCAACCCTCTGCCAAGTTTCCAAGATTATAAATCTTTACAGGAGGAGATGGCCCATCTTTCTCCCAGTAGTGGCTGGTGGTTTCAAACCACCTATCTTTTGGGTAGCACACCAAGACTTAACACACTGTGCCAAGGTTTCTTGGAACTTCTCACAGTCAAAGTTAATAAGCAGATGGATTTGAACCCCAGAAATAAATCAGAATCCATGCTCACTTCTAGGATTAAGGGTAGGAGGAATATTGCAAGGTCCCTTTATCTCTAATACTTAGTCTATGACTTAGTCTTATGGGAAAAGCCATACTCTTGGAGTCAGAAAACAAGGAATGTGACCCTTGGCTCCACTCTTTATTAATTACATTTTAAATAACATCATTATTGGACAGAAGGGTCATGGAAAGAGAATCATACAGATACATGTGGATATTGTAATTAATATCAAAACAAAATGTGTATGAATGGTCAAATAGAAAACCAATTTACTCTGTAAACATTTACACAAAAATTTTACAAGTAACATTATTATTGTTGTTTCCTCTTCTACAAAAAGAATACAATCCTTACCTTTCAGGATTTTTTTTTTTAACTAACAAATGTATCTTAACTATGTCCAACTCAATAAAGGTTAAATCAAATCTGAACCTGTTTCTTCATTAGGAGGTGAAAGGATTAGCATTTTACATTTAGAGATGCTTTCTAAGCTATTTCACAGTTCTAAAATTGTGTAACTATTACTAATAGATACAACGCAATCAAATTTCAAATAAAAGTTAAGGTTGTTGTTGTTGTTATGTGCCGTCGAGTCATTTGCGACTCACAGCGACCCTATGTTCAACAGCCCTAAACCCTGCTCTCTCCTGTGCCAATCGCACTGCCTTGAACACACCCATCCCGATTAACCCAGTCACTGAATCAATCCATCTTATAGAGGGTCTTCCCCTCTTGCGCCATCCCTCCACCCTCCCAAGCATGATGTCCCTCTCCAAGGACCTGTCCCTCCTTGCAACATGCCCAAAGTATGTCAGACGAAGCCCCAGTATCCTTGCTTCCAAGGAGTTGCTTCATTTAATCCACTCCAGGATGAATCTGTCTGTTTTCTTGGCAGTCCATGGTACATTCAATACTCTTCTCCAGCACCACAGCTCAAAGGCATCAATTCTCCTTCTATCCTCCCTAGTCATTGTCCAACTCTCTGATGCATAACAAGTGATTGCAAAGACCACGGCCTGTATCAAGTGCACCTTAGTCTCCAGAGAGACACCATTGCTCTTGAGTAGAGAGGGCCCTAACAGCAGACTTTCCCATCGCAATACATTTTTTGATTTCCTGACTGCTAGTGCCAAGAGTGTTGACCGTGGAGCCGAGCAAACTGAAGCTGTGAACAATCTCAATCTCTTCGCCATCCATCCTGATGCTACCAATTGGTCCAGTGGTGAGAATCTTTGTCTTCTTGACATTGAGCCTCAGTCCATACTGAAGTCTGCAGTCCTTGACCCTCTGCAGCAAGTGCATGAAGTCCTCCTTAGTTTCAGCAAGCAGGGTTGTGTCATCTGCATAACGCAGACTGTTAATAGATCTTCCACCAATCCTGATGCCACAATTCTCCTCATAGAGCCCAGCCTCCCGGATAATATGCTCTGCATACAGGTTGAAAAGGTATGGAGATAGGACACATCCCTGATGTACACCCTTCCCAATTTTGAACCATGCAGTGTTACCCTGCTCTGTTATGACTACTGCCTCTTGGTCTAAGTATAGGTTTCGCATTAGCAAGATTAAATGTTCTGGGATTCCCATTCTTCTCAGAGTTAGCCACAGTTTGTTATGATCCACACAGTCAAACGCCTTTGCATAATCAATGAAACACAGATAGACATTCGTCTGGTATTCCCTGCTTTCAGCTAAGATCCATCTAACATCAGCTACAATATCCCTAGTACCATGACCCCTTCTAAATCCAGCCTGGACTTCTGTCAACTCTCTGCTGATGTGCTGTTCCAGTCGTTTTTGGATAATCTTCAGTAGAATCTTGCTTGCATATTTTAACTCAAGTTTGATATCAAATGTTAATGGTTAATAAATGAGTTCCTTTTTGTTTACTTACTGCTGAAAATTTACTAGAATCAGTGTCAGAAAGTCCTCTCCCAAAACCCTAAAACAAGGGATAAGCTGAAGTTTTTGCAAATTTAGGGCGAAAGAGGGAGGTGCTGAGAGGGGAGAAAAGACAAGAGGGAATTCAAAATAGAAACAATGCAAACCTTTAGAAAAGTTTCTGAAAATTTTCACATTATCTCAATGTCAAGAAAATTTTTCTCTGTAACTAATTCTAATCTGCTCTGTTCTTTCCTTCTCCAATTCTACATTAACAAATCTTGACCAAATATGTAATTTAAACTGCTAAAGTACAAGAGAGCTATGGTGGCCTGGTGGTGACAAAGTTGCGCTGCAATCCCAAAGCCAAGCAGTTGGAATCCACCAGCTGCTCTGCGGAAAAAGGATAGGCAATCTTCTCTCATGCAATTAACTGCTTCTGAAAACTCACCAGCAGGTCAGCTTTGGGTCGGTTCCAGGTCTATGGTAAACACCAAGAAGGTTTAAAAAGGAAGCTCTGGTGGCCTACTGGTAAGAAGCTATGCTGCCATCCCAAAGGCAAAGCAGTTCCTTATTACCAGCTGCTCTGCCCAAGAGACTCACTATTTCAGAAAATCCACTGGAGGATCACTGGGCCAGTTGCAAGTTGACAGCACACAGTAACAACAAGGTATTAACAGAAAGGGGTTTGAATCCCGAGCATGCCATTTAATAACTGTGTGATCCTGATAAAATCACTTCATTCTTTCAGCTTGTTTTCCCTTACGTGAAAATGGAGAAAATAAAAATTATTGATAATGATGTCTTTGTGTTATAAGGAACATTTGTAAAAGTACTCTGATAACAGCAAAACAGACATAGGCATCACGATTATTAACAACTGTTACTAAATAATGTAAGCAAACTCCTCTTTCCCCAGCAAACTGCCAGAGCATCAAGAACTATATTCCTAAAATACTTGTTTTTAACTTGACATTCCGTTTCTGAAAAGTCTGCAGTAGTCCAACTACCTATTTAGTCAAACATCTGATCTTTATGGGTTTTTACCAACTGGGCACTTTTTGACTCATCTTTAGGCTCACATAATCCTACCTTATAGTCTAAAGTACTCTGATTTGGGAAGTCATGGTATAACCCATAACAAATAAACTGGGCTGCTAAACAAAAGGTCGGCAATTTTAATCCAACAACTGCTCTGAGGGAGAAAGATGGGTAGTCTCTTTCCTTAAAGATTTACAGTCTTAGAAACCTGACAGAGGACCATTATGAGTTGGAATTGATTCACCAACAGTGAATATGACTTAGGGTTCTACTCCACACAAGCTAGTTCCCTTGTAGTCATTTAAACTCTAGCATTAAAATCTAACCATCAGCTCATTTGATTTATAAAATTTCTGTAGATGCCCAGTTCTACTTACTCAACTAGATCCTTTTCTCTCTTATTTTCCTTTTCAATCTTTTATTCACAAATACAAACCCCTGGAAGTATATCAATATCCCCTTACAGGTCTTGTTTCAAGTAACAGATACAGGCCTGGACAGCTCACCAGTTTGTGCCAGGAAATCTGGAAGA